CGATTCCTATACGCAGCTACATATTTGCTGGGCCATTTCAAATCCCCAGTTATTGATTGATATGTGAGATTGAACGTCTCAAAACCACTATAAGATTATGAGAGACGCCATAGAGAAAGGTTCTCGAAATTTCGTCGTGCATGCCCAAACATTGAGTGTTTTTTCACAAGTACTCGCCAAAGCTGCTCATCCACGATTCCTAAAAATTTTTAAACTGGTGCCTTGACTTATATCATTCTCGAGTTATCACCGTAACATACTGAACGACTTGGACATGCACAAATATATACCCGAACCCATCTGAACCGCTTCTGCCGATATGATTCAAAACCATGCTTTTCACCTATTATAAGTGCTCATTGTTTCGTTTACATGATTGACACTCTCTTCTCGAACCCGAGCTGATTAGAGATTACAACAGGGCAGATATTGCAACAGTTTACCGTGAACTTGGCGTTTTCTTTGACTACATGCTAAAGTTTGAAAACGTGAAGATATCTGCCACAGTGGTGTAGCGGCTAAGGAAGTCAGTTGCTGACCCTCAGGTCGCAGGGCAGAATCCCAGCCGTGGCGACCGCATTTCCGACGGATGTAAAAATGCTTGAGGCAGTATGTTTAGATTTGGGTAGACGTAAAAAAAACTAGGTAGTCAAAATTTCTGGAGCCCTCAACTACGGTGTCTCTCATAATCATATCGTGCTCTTGGCACGTTTAACACCAAAGCTATTACTATAAAACCTAAAGAATGGCGTGTTCAAACTGAATGGAAAAAAAACAGTCAGACGTCTGACAGACAGATGCTGCTCTTTGCATACTATTTCAGGTGAACACCGGTCCCCATGTATTCGTTTTTAAATAAATTGCCCGTGAAATAGAATAAGTACGCGTTTAAAAAAGCCAAGCGCAGGATTGAATAAGCTGAACGGTGCGCTATCGTGAATATACTACTCAGTAAAATTAGGCAGCCGAGAAAGCCAAGTACACGAATGCCAATACTTTTTTTATTGTCAATAGCTTTCATAACCAGATTATGAAAGCCAAGTTACAGCAATAGTGCACCAATCTCAAAATCGAAGCGTTGTTTTTTGCGTTTAATGACGTATTTTCTAAATGCATTTGGATGCGAAGCATTTTATCGTGGACCTCAATTCGGTGTGCGGCATGATTAATCTTACTGTCCAAACACGTTTGTTACTTCTCTCCTATGCTCTCCCACTCTGGCCTCGCAACGCTGCCCAGGCAGCACTTGCTAGCCTATACTCGCTCTCCTCTCTCTCTCCTCTTGATGGAGTTCACAATCACACTGCGCATGCGCGTCTCCGTCAACTTTCTCACCGTTCCAATGCTCCTCTATCTCTCGCTTCGCAACGCCGATGCTGGCAGCGTATGACATTGCTAGCGAGTTTTGTGACTGAAACAAATGACAGCCCCCACTATACAACCATCCACTAGCCACCCCATATATATATATAGGCACAGGATTTTGACCGCCAAGATACCGCTGGTGGGAGATTTCACCTGCGGATTGTTGAACAATAAAAATTCGCAAGGTGGGCGTTAGCTAAAAATGGATCACGGGTCTCTGTGTTCAATCAGAGTATTGTGTCCCTCATTGCTCATTACTTGCGATATGCGTGTTCCAAAAAGAAATACTGGTTCATCGCTGCGTGCTTTACACCTCCGCAGGTTTCTCTCCTGGGCAACGCCGCAGTGAGCGCCAGTGTCAGCGTCTCCGCCGTTGTAAGTGCTAGCGCCCGCGGCTTCGCACTTACACATGGTTGCCTTTAGCGGTAAATGGCGTAATGTTTATCATGGGGTGTCTCCTCTTGCAGCAATAATTATTATATCTTCCCCACTATAGATCCTGCTGTTGATTTTACGGTGTTACTGAAGCTCACTCATTGTCTGAACTTGTTCGGCTTGTGGAGTGAACAGCAACACTTCAAAATTTTTGAAAAAATCTGGGTGTTTATTCTACACTTTTGTAAAATGCGTTTTCTCATTCTTTGGAATCTTGTTTTTTACCACGCCACTAAAGTGGGCAAGGTCGTACCAATATTTGAATAAGGAGGCGCACCGTTCCCTTTGAAAGACAAAGCATATTTTCCAAGGGGCCCAAAGCTTTTAAAACACCAATCTTATCTAGAAGGCCTTTTTTCCAACCAACAGAATTCCTGTAAACATTTTGAACGTGAAACACAACTGACTTCGTTTACACATGAAGTTTTTGTGCCCTTAGAATGCGTAATAGTCAATGTTAAACTTCTCTAAAGCTTTGCATCTCTTCTTACCAGTTACTTTTTTAGGCTAACTAAATGCAATCATTGACCACAATGTAATAATACATTGTAGTATGTTATAATGCAATGTATGTATCAGTACACAAGTCTCGCTCGTGTAAACGAGAAATCGGAAAGCCCGCGGGTTAGTTCCGAAGTGAAGAAAGTGCATCGGTATGCTCATGATTATCGTTTTTTTCTAGATGTCACCAGGTTTGACAATAATGCAAACCAGCTACTGCAACTTTTTCAAGAAGCCTTATCTGCTCTTCATTGCTCACGAAATTCACGAAAACAATTAACAGGCTCACATTTGGCGTAACACGCGCGTCTTTTCAAGTAATTGTGTTGGTTGTATGAGCGTCGGCACAGAACGCCATTGTTGTGATTTAGGTCGGATCATTCTAAGTTCAGAAAAAGTATTATTGAATAGTGTAATCTCATATGTGCTCCTCGCTGCTTTTGGTTGAACAAGTATTCAAGTGGTTTCCTGCTCTGGCCTAGCGGCTGAACAGTGCTGCATACCCGCGATTGACTGTCTCTTCGATCTCTGAATTTCAGCCTCAAACTTTCAAACATGGCCGCCTCAACGCAAACATGTGAGAAAAGAAGGAGGAAAACTCAAAAAGAGCCTGTTGGTGTTATATTTATGCGTTGTATTCCATTGGCTTAAAAACTGGAAGCACTGGTAACTTAAGTTCACGTTCTCAGCTCTAAACAAGCTCTCCATTCTATGCAAAACCAGCTAAACCAGGTACGGAAAGCAAGAAAAGTTGGGTGTATTAAAAAAAGACAAAACAGTTGAATGCTCCACCTGTACACCGGTCGGGTCAGTTTGGGTATCAGGGGCACGTTGCAGGGGCATCCCAACTGTGCATGCAACAAACAGTGACAGGGAGAATTTTAGCCTAACCGAAAGAAACTGATGTTGTGAGCCACAGCGCTTGCATTGCTACGTTGTGGCAAGTATTACCAAGCAACTGATCCGAGAAGTCCTGCTGAAAAGGGGGAGACATTAGGGGGTATAGTAAAGTACGCTTCACAGGAAAGCTGATTTTGCAATTTTGACACAAACGAATGCTCTATACTCGAGGAACAAAGCTGTTGAAGCCCGACGTGGAGCAGCCACTTAGTTTTAGGGCGACTACTTATAGCGACTGTCCACTCTATCTGACGTAAATTGGGACATATCCCAGGTTAAGTAGAACGTTGAGTCAACGTGGTTTGAATGTAACGAATGTGAGACAACGTTAGACGGTAAAATATAACATTGCACCGACGTTTACAGCATTTTGTTGCCATAACACAGTGTTTTAATGTTGCAGCAACATTGAAATAATGACGTTGTCCTAACTTAGAAGTGTGGCATCTTGGGCTAGTTGGTATGGCATGACGATAGTTAAAACACGGGAACGAAACGACGACACAGAGACAAGAAGGACACGAAAGACGCGTGTCGTGTCTTTCGCGTCCTTCTTGTCTCTGTCGTCGTCAATTTGTTCTCGCGCTATAACTATGGTCGTTGTCCTAACCTTTTGCTTTTAACGAGGCCACAACATTCAAATTATCACGTTGCCCTAACATGATGATAGTAATGTGGCAACAACAATCAAATCATCCCATTGCATCATTGTTGCATATAGACATCAAGCCCATGTTTAGCTGCGATCGTAGAAACAACATGGAGAACATGATCGCTGAAACATCCATGATTACAAATGGCAAAATTTTGAACTTCGTGGATTCATTTGAGTAATGACTGACAGTGGCTAGTTAGCGTAATTGAGTAAGAAATAGAGGAAGCATGAACAAGACAGACAACGGTTCAGCCTAAGTTCTTCACACAATAATCCTTCTATGAATCTAATTTCTTTATACAGCTGCGCTCTATGTTTTTTATTTGTTTGTTTGACAATACACGACTGCCGTACTGCAGGAAACAAAAAAACATCACCATAAGTCACCTGACTAGGCCTCTATAGCTCCGCACCATACGTTCTTCACATAAAGCGACTGCATTGACAAAAAAAAAGAAACACAAGAGCACAATCACATGGTAGAGACCATTGCATCCCCTTCTTACGTCTGTAGCTAGGTACATTAAACACAGTGAATTCATATGTGAGAGGATATTTGCAAGAGCAAGCCTTTCAAGACCCTAAATTTCCAGGCTACAAAAGCCTGCCGTACGGCAGGCTTTAGCTTAACATGTATGCCTGCAGACCTGAAGAATAAACTACCTGTCTATTTTATTATTACTGTGTGGTTGTAAAAATAGCATTCGAGCCATTACATTATGAACTGGGCAAGCAGTAGTTAAATCAAATTGTGCCTACATTATGATGCATCACCACAATCAAGTTTTAAAGAGTGCTTTGAGATCACAGACACATTAAACAGATGTACTAAAACGGAACCTACAAGCTTGCATGATGCAAGGTAACAGCCACAACAAACCCTACGATTGGCAATAATTGTGGAAGTGGAACCAATGAGAACCATGGCGCTAGAAAAGCAGCTGTTTCACAGAGCCCTTACTCTTGGGGAACATAAAAAGCAATGCAATGATTTGAGATAAAGATGCAAACAGGAAAATCAATAACGGGATATGTGTACGAGACGATAGCATGGGTCGAACAACGCTTTATCACCTATAGTGACGAGTTTAAGTAGGCCAGGCGGGTGACGTCACGCTTACGTAGGAGCGACAGCTTGCGCTCGCTATCGCGGCCATGCCACCTCGGTTACATCTTCCTTTCCTTGGGGCAATATAGGTCGCTCTGGCATGGGGTACCGACGAGGCTCGCGACGTTCCCGAGTGCTTCTCCGTGGTAGTGGCGGCTCTGGAACGGGACCCGAGCCTGGCAAGCCTGAGGAAGGTGTTGTGGTCGTGTCGGGGCATGGTAGCTCTGGAACCTCCCGGAGATGTTCCCGTGTGCGTCGCATTTCTCGGCCATCTTCTGTTTTTACCAGTACGGAGCGTGGAGCTCCCGCTGATCCCAGCACAACGACCGGGGACCACGTCCGTGTGTGCGTGTCGTACAACGAGGCCCTCTGACCCGGTGAGAGGGCGCGCAGGTCCCGAGCACCTCGATTGTAGTAGACCTTCTGCTTGTGGCGAATCTCCTGGAGACGGGAGTGCACCTTCCTGTTGGGCAATGGTGCCGGCTTCAGGTGGCAGGAGGGAACCGGGAGCAGTGTTCTCGTCTGTCGACCCATCAGCCTCTGCACAGGTGACATCAGAATAGCATCACGTGGAGTATTGCGCAACTCAAGCAGAGCTAAATGGAAGTCTGGGCTGTTATACGAACACTTCTTCAGCGGCGTTTTCGCTTCTTGAAGTGCCCTTTCGGCCATGCCATTTGCGCGAGGGTGATAAGGGCTTGACGTCACGTGGGTGACTCCTAGTTCATGCAGAAATTCACGGAACTCTTGGCTACTAAAAGGGGGCCCGTTGTCCCTACAGAGCTTCACTGGTAAGCCGTGGACAGAGAAAACTTTCGCGCACCACTCCTTGAAGTGCCGGGCTGTTGTGTATCGAAACTCCTTTATTTCAAAATAAAAGGAGTATAAGTCTACAATTAAGGCAAACTCTTTACCACCGTGATGAAATAGGTCCATGCCAACCATTTCTCATGGCAGACTGGGGACATCATGCGACAGTAGAGGCATCTTAGTGTTTTGCTTTTGGTGAGCCTGGCCAACTTTGCATGATGCTGCAACCTGGTCAATGTCACTCGACATGGATGGCCAAAACATGACACTCCTAGCCCGAATTTTCATCTTCTCCGCCCCCGAGTGGGCCAGATGAAGAAGCCGAAGGATTTCAGCTCTCTTAGCGCTTGGTACGGTTACCTTGTTGCTGCGAAAGACGAGGCCATCTTGTGTATGCATCTCTTCTCGATACGCCCAAAATGGCCTGGCACATGCTGGGACGTCCTCTTTGTTTTCCGGCCAGTCAGTCTCTGCATAGGATCGGATGGTCGACAGAGCAGGATCCTTGGTGGTTGCCACAAGTAGTTCCTCGAGGCGACGCTCAGAAGCTGGAAGAAGGGCAATGACGTTAACATTAAAGCGCTCGGTTTCTTCTGTCAATAACGCCTTGCTTGGAAAACGAGAGAGCGCATCAGCCAAAAACAGCTCTTTTTCTGGCTTGTACAGTAGAATAATGGCGTATCGCTGCAATGTCAGTTGCATTCGTTGCAGTCTAAGTGGGCACTGGTGAAGTGGTTTACTGAAAATTGGCACCAACGGACGATGGTCGGTTTCCACCGTAACCTCAGATTGGCCGAAAATATAGTCGTGAAATTTTTCGCAGCCATGCACAATCGCCAGAGCTTCCTTTTCAATCTGCGCGTACCGCGTCTGAGCATCGCTGAGCGATCTAGACGAGAAAGCGATAGGGCGGCCGTCTTGTATCAGAACGGCACCAACGCCCATGTGGCTGGCGTCAACAGAGAGGGTGACTGGCTTTTTCGAATCGAAGTAAGCAAGCACTGGCGCTGTTACTAAGGCTTGGCGCAGCTCATTGAAGCTGCATTGCTCTTTTTCTGTCCAGACCCAGGCAATATCTTTGCGCAGCAATGTTCTAAGTGGTGCGGTGAGTACAGACATTCGAGGAATGAAGCGCTGTACGTAATTCATCGTTCCGAGGAAGACTTTCAATTCCTTACTGTTACTTGGCGCTGGCATGTCCAAAATGGCTTGGACGCGATCGGGTCCCAGGCTCAGTCCTTGCGTGGTGAAAACGTGCCCCAAGTAGCGAACTTGCTCCTGCAAAAAGACACATTTCTGTGAGTTCCGACGGAGGTTGTGCTCACGGCAGCTTGCAAGCACCCCGGTCAAGTTGTCATGTTCTTCCTTCGTTGTGCCCCAGACTAATATGTCGTCCATTACAACCGCTACTCCAGACAGGCCCTCCAAGAGGCGGTGCATGGCTGCTTGAAATATTTCTGGGGCGGAAGATATTCCAAAAGACATGCGGATAAACCGATAGCGCCCGTAGGGCGTGCTCATTGTGCACAATCTGGAGCTGCTGTCAGAATGTTTTATTTGCCAGAACCCGGATGTTGCGTCCAAGGTAGAAAAATATTTAGCTCCAGCTAGTCGTTGCGCGACGTCTTCTAGAACAGGCATAGGGTAGTGTTCACGCAGAATAACCTTGTTAAGCTCCGTTGGGTCGAGACAAATTCTTACTTTATCACCTTTAACTACGGCTACCATATAGCTTGACCATTCTGTTGGTTCGGTTACCTTCGTTATGATGTTGTGCTCTCCATGCGTTGAAGTTCGGCCTTTACTTTTTCTTGAATGGCAACCGGAACCCTTCTGGCTGGCACAACAACACCGACGGCGCCGGGTTTGAGCTTCATTTCGTACTCAAAATTCTTCAGCTGTCCCAATCCTGTGAAAACATCGGTGAAGGGCTGAGCCGCCGGGTAGAGTTGCTGCGTCTCGACGCTATCAACGCGATAAATCAAGCCAAGGCTTTCTGCTGCTGCTCCGCTGAGGGTCACCGGCACGTTTTGCTCTATGACGAAGGTTTCATCGTGCTGTTTATCGTTCACGGATAGCGACAACTTTACATTAAACTGCGCAGTCGTTTTGTTGCCGAAAAAACTCGTTAACGTGGCTCGGCAGGCTTCACGAGTCTTTTTCGGAAGCGACAAAACATCTTCCTTTGAAATCACACAACAGTTTGCCCCAGTATCAAGTTTGCAGACCATCGGACGGCCTTCAATGGAAACTGTCGCGGTCCACTGGTCGCTAGCGAGTGCGTTCACAGTTAAAGCTTCCAGAAAAAAATCTGACCTTTTGTCAACATGTAGCTCTCGTATTTCCCTGCGCTTTGCATCTTCGCTGTGAAAGAAGGATGACTGCGAGTATGCTTGGGCGAAATGATTCAATCCTCCGCATTTCTGGCACGCTTTTCCTGTTGCTGGGCAGCGGCTGCCGCGGTGAACTTTGTAGCCACATTTGTTACATGGCTTTGTTACTCTGGCCAACGCATTTACGGCTGCAGTTTCAGCGCCTTCAGTGGTGCCACGTATCTGTTGAAACTGCTCCTTGCCTTGCTCTTGGATGCGACAGATTTCGACTACTCTTTGGTAAGAGGGGTTTTCAGAAATTAACTTCTTTTGCAGTCCCTTGTCCCGGATACCGAGTATGATGCGGCTACGAAGCATGCGCTCTTCTAAGTCTCCAAAATCGCAGTGTTGGGCTAGCGTTCGCTATTCGACAAGCCAGTCATTGAAACATTCGTCCTCTTTTTGGTCTCGGGAGCCGAAGCAAAACTCGTGGTAAGTGAGGTTCTTCGAGGGCTGGTAGAAGTCTTCAAATTTTTTAATTATAAGGGTTACATCGGTTGTGTCCTCTCCTGGCTCAAACTTGAACGAAGCGAACACTTTTCTAGCCTCTTCCCCAATGGTCACTAAAAGCGTCGCCACCTGCACTTCTTTTGGTTGCTTGTTCAGCTGAGTTGCCGTGGAAAACAGTTCAAACTTACTTTTCCAGGTCTTCCACCCAAGCCAATCGTCTCGCGATGTGTCGAGGGGCTTCGGAGGCGGCAGGAGCGTTGTCGGCAATGCAGGCGGTGTCGGCAACGTAGGTGGTGTCGTCATGCTGGCTGTTTTCCGCTGCCACCATGTGTACGAGACGATAGCATGGGTCGAACAACGCTTTATTGCCTATAGTGACGAGTTTAAGTAGGCCAGGCGGGTGACGTCACGCTTACGTAGGAGCGACAGCTTGCGCTCGCTATCGCGGCCGTGCCAACTCGGTTACAGGATATAGCAATAATGTAAAATCACGGCCGAAAGAGAGAGATATATATGGTATGAAGACAGGCAGGGAGGAGGAGGAGGAAGAGGAAGAGAAGAAATGAAAGGCAGGGAGGTCAACCAGACGCACGTCCGGTTTGCTACCCTGCACTAGGGGAAGGGGTGAGGGGATTAAAGGAGAAGAGAGAGAGAAGTGAAGGGCAACGTGTATGTAGATGAGACCTTGTCCATTGCACGCTTATAAGCGGTCGCGTAGTGCGGTCGTCTTTAGAAAACTTAGCAGTGCTCGCGTCGCTTTGCTGGCCTGCGACGCGTACAGCCATGAACCAAGGATCTTCTCTTCGGAGAAAGGTCTACTGTCTGGTGTCTCTAACGTTTCGCGTAGTAAGTTGCGTTCGCTAGAAAAACGTTCACATTGTAGTGAAGAAGAGGAGCTTCAGCGGCATTTCTCGGCGCATCAGGGGCATCACCATCGGCATAAGCTCGTGCTTGCGGCGCTTGGCCGGACGCTGCTGACTGCTTCGCTTTCTGCGTTCTGCTCTGCAAATAAAGCCCGTTACAAGTGGTGGAATCTGCTGGGTTTCGATCACCCTGGAGCTTCGGAATCGCATTTTACCATTCATTATGCCTACCGACGCAAGCGCCACTCCAACTCCTCCACTGGCACCACCTACTGTTCTCTGCGCCGGTTCTCTGCGTCTGCGAGATCCCCCTGTTTTCTCAGTCACAGAAGACAAGGACGTTGACGACTGGATTTCAATGTACGAGCGAGTGAGTACGCACAACAAATGGGATGACACCACCAAGTTGGCCTACGTCTCCTTCTACCTGTCGGACGTGGCCAAGCTGTGGTTTATAAACCACGAAGCGGAACTCCCTACATGATCGGTCTTCAAATCGAGCCTCACACACGTTTACGGGCGGTCTGAGGTACGCAAACGACGTGCCGAACAACGCCTACATACTCGGTCCCAGCAGCTTGGTGAGAATTTCACAAGCTATACTGAGGACGTTTTAGACCTTTGCAAGCGAGTCAACGAGTCGATGTCCGAAGAGCTTAAGATCAAGCATATCATGGAGGGCATTGAGGACGACGCTTTCAAAATGTTGCTTTCTAAGAGTCCTCGCACTGTCCCTAGAACTGACCGAGTTATGCCAGAGTTTTCACAAGTTGCGCAGGCAACGTCTTTCCACCCGACGTCCCTCGGTGCTCGACGACTCTTCGTCCAGCCTTTCCACCCTTGGCATTAGGAGAAGACCATGCCCCTCTTCTCTCCAAGATCCAAGAGTTCATCCGCGCTGAGGTCGCTCGTCAGCTCTCTTTGATGTCCTGCGTACCCGATCAACCACGCAGATTGACATCTACACTCCGCGACTTCATTCAAGACCAGGTCGCACAAGCTCTTCCTCCCGCCCGTGAACCGCCCCCAGTCGCCGCACCTCTCACGTACGCCGAGGCCGTTGCTCGACCTCGACATTCTGCGTTCCAGCCAGCGCCTATGTATTCGCCGCCGCCCTTTTCGCCGCTGACCTATTCACCGCCGCCTATGCCCTTATCACCTCGGCCGCAGTTTTCTGCCCCCCAACCGCAAGTCGGAGTCTACTCCGACCAATGGCGGACCCACGACAACCGTCCCATATGTTTTGCTTGTGGTGGTATTGGCCACGTGGCACGTTATTGTCATCGTCGCCAGGCTGCTCAGAACATTCGACGAATGCCCTGTTTCGACCCTCAGTTTTCTTCTAGGCCTTCAAGCCCTCCTTCTTCTTCCTTTTCTTCTGATCATCCACACGGCCCGACCCGCCGCTCCCCTTCTCCACGTCGACGTTCGCTTTCGCCTATGCGTCGCCATTCTGGACCCACCGACCAGTAAAACTAACGGCCGCAGTTCCCGAGGCACGAACTGCGTCCCCGTCACCATGCACAAGTCCTCGCCCCTGTCCAGCTAACGTCATTGAAGTGTCAGTCGATGGTATCGTCGTCATGGCGCTCGACGACACCAAAACCGCTCTATCCGTCCTTTCCATCAACCTGTGCCGCAAACTCCGCAAAGTTCTCACGCCATTATCCGGCCTCTCTCTTAGAACGGCTAACGCATAAAGTGTAACACCTCTCGCAGCCTGTACCACACGAGTCGTCATCGAAGGAATTGTGTATATCGTCGAATTCGTAGTGCTGCCCTCGTGTTCCCATGACATGATACTCGGCTGGGACTTCCTTGCGAATAATAATGCCGTCATTGACTGCTGTCGCGCTGAACTTGAGCTATCTGCACTTCCTGATGTTGACGCTGTCGAAGCCTCCCTGCCGTGTTATAAACTGTCTGTTTGCGACGACACCACCGTACCACTGCGCTCTTCTCTGCTGGTGACTGTGTCGTGGGACGCTTTTTCCGACGGTGATATTTTATTTACGCCCTCTGCCCTGTTAATTCAACGCAAATGTTCTCCACTGCCCATTGCTCTCCTTACTCTCCACCATGGCGTCACGAATACGCTCGTGTACAATACGCTAGAAAGGCCTTTACCTTTATTCTATGGTGAATGTCTCGGTCACGTGCATCCGATCGACGTCCCTCACATTTTTGACGCTCCATCTAGTTTACTTTCTATGGACATTAGCGCACTCATTTCTGACTCTGCTGTTGACCAGTCACTCCTTGACGCTTTCCACCGCTCCATCGATGTCGCAACGTCTTCTTCAGAACGAAACCATTTAGTGAACCTGCTGCAAAAGTTTCCTACTTCTTTTGACAGCCACGCTTCTGGCCTCAGTCGCACATCGAACATATCTCACAAGATTGACACAGAAAGCCATACGCCTCTTCGGCAGCGCCCCTACCGAGTCTCAGCGTCGGAGCGCCGTGTTATTGAAGACCAGGTTGGTGACATGCTCCAGTCGGGGTATTGTACAGCCTTCTAACTGTCCCTGGGCGTCACCGGTCGTTCTTGTTCAGAAGAAGGACGGCACCATTCGCTTCTGTGTGGACTATCGACGTTTAAACAAGATCACCCGCAAGGACGTTTACCCGTTGCCGCGAATAGACGACGCCCTAGACTTTTTGCAGGGAGCAGAATACCTGTCTTTGCTAGATTTACGTTCTGGATACTGGCAAGTTCCTATGAAAGCATCTGACCGACCGAAAACAGCATTTGTCAGACCTGATGAATTATACGAATTTACCGTTATGCCTTTCGGCCTTTGTCACGCTCCAGCCACTTTTGAAAGAATGATGG